GGCTCGAGGCTCAGGGCTTAAGGTCAAAGGCTTAGGGCTTCAGGTTTGGGGCTGAGGGCTATTCAAAAATTTAAGGCTCAAGGCTGCTAGATGCTGCTAGGGTTCAGGGCTTGGTGGTTAATGGTTCAGTTTGGGGGCTTGGCGGTTAATTTAGGTGTAGCGCTTGGCGGTTAAGTTTTGGGGCTTAGCGGTTAAGGGTTTAGGGTTTAGGGCTTTGGGTCAGAAAGCTGAGTCCCAGCGACATTATTCTTTGGACCTCTGAAGTCTTGTCACACATCTGTCACTTAACACCTGCTTAGCATATCTAGTTCCAACCCACTTATGGAATTAGAGTAGAACTCGCTGGCATTCTGTAGGCTCTGGCTAGCACCCTCCCCAAACTAAAATGGAATCACATGTGGCCCTTTTTGGGGATTAAAAGTTAGTTTGGGGCAAGTAAAACCCTCAATCTCCAAACTCTAAACTCTCAGGCTTGAACTCTAATGCCCGAAGCCGCCCAAGCCCTACACCACAAAAAGTGCAGCCTTTAACTCTTAATCCTAAGCTCTGCCCCTGTGCCCCCTAAACCCTTAAAACCCTACACCTAAAACCCTAAACCCCCCCAGCAAAACTTGCGGCAGTCGAGGGATGGACCTGCACCCGGGATGGCATCACGCCATAGTTGTAGCCGGCCGTGATTTGATTCTGGGCGCCGGGTCTAAGGTTTTTGTAGGGCTTAAAGCTAAGGGTTGAAAGGCTTGGGGGTTTTCAGGGTTTAGGTTTAGGGTTTAGGGTTTAGGGCCTAATTAAGGGCTTGCCTAAACCCTAGACCCTAAACCCTAAATCTATTGAAGCTGGAAATTTCTAGGCTTGCAAAAGCCTGCGTTTGATTCTGCACGCAACAGAAGGAGGCCTCGCATAGCACCCAACCCCCAAAACCAGGACCCATCAGATGCCTCATAATCAAAACTCCTTAAAGGTGGGTTATATAGGGGATTATATAGGGTTGAGGGTTTAGGGTTTAGGGTCTGAACTCCTCAAAGGCGGTTATATAAGGGAATACATTAGGGGACTACTATAGGGGCTATCAAGGGGATACTGGGAGTTTAGACTATAGCTCATAAACCCTAAACCCTCGCTCATATGACTATGATAAGGCCCTCCTCTAGAGGGGTTTTGGGTTACCAAAAGCCTCTTACTACACGAGACTCATCAGACCCCAGCAAGGTGCGAGGAGTAAGGCTGGATCAGAACCGTTTAGGGTTTAGGGTTTGGTGCTTGGGGTTTAGGGCTATCGAAGCATGCTATCCCAACAATGGAAAATCAAATAGAAAAGAAACTGGAACATGAAATGGAAAATGAGATGTAAACTGGGATGATGAGCTATGGTTCTACGAGTTCTAGTAATAGAAACAACAATAGCACGAATAATATGAATAATAACCTTTATAACAACCAGTATCAGGTATACTCACATCATTCTACTACTTGCTATATAGTAGAAGACGCAATAATAAGAAATATTTGTAGTTATAATTGTCGCAATCGTACGAGGGATACAAAAAAACATGTTGAGCCTCCTTTTTTGCGTTGGCTGCCTCTAGTGAGGACTGCTGTTTGCCTGAATATCCAAAGGGGAGCCATGGCCGTAAAAACCTTGCAGCGCTTGAAAAACAAAAAAGGGCAATGATCATTGGAACCGCCATGTGGAATAATTGGCGGGCTTCCCCACAGTTAGAACTACTTTTTATGGTAGTCCAGATATTAAGGGATATTCTATATTGGAGTTTGTATGGACCGTCTTCTGAGTGACAAGTCGGCGGCCCTTATGCGGAGAAGGGATGCAAAATGAGGGGTAAGGGAGGGAAGCAAGGCCCAGCAGAGTAACGGGAACAACTATTTTTCCAAGCCTGTAACAGTAACAGTCTGCGACAGTAACGGAAAGTGGGCCGGCAGCATACTCGGAACTACTGCAGGAGAGAGCCGAAGCAGAAAACTGGACAAAAGACAATGACATTATCTAACCCCGCATAACCTGAATATTAGCAAAGACCAAAACCGTCAAAACCCTTACGAAATGTGGGGATGCCGTTGTCAAACAAAAGGGACCAGGCTTGCCAACCCTGTATTTCTTCAGGAAGTTCAAAAAGCTGTGGTGCCGGCTTAAAAAACTGCATGGGCTGATCAACATCAAGTGGTTCGTTAAACAGTTGGAGCCTTGAACCGCAATTCTGCCCATGCGAATGACGACTGTGAATATTGAGAAATTGGTCCTAGAACTGGCGTACTCCAAATAGATGGTTGGTATTTGAAAGGAATGGGTCACAAACTTTCTGCAATACCTTTTCAAGTGAAAATTTACGCGCATTCGCGACATGTTTTTTGATTGGGGAACGTCCATGCCCATTGCATTTGAACAAATCCTTGTACTGCATGCCCAAGAAAAGCAACTTTCTCTTGCAAAGGAACTCATCCTTTAACATAGTATGCTGATCTGGGCGTAGCGGAGCTTGGGAGGCTTGAATCCTCTAACCCGGATGTGCTTTGGAAATTCTGTTGAAAATGTTGTTGACAACCCGTTGAAGCATGCTATTCCTAAACAGACGAGGCAAGTAAAGAGAAGGTGGAAGTCATCATTCCAGAAAGAGGGCTTGAAGCCCAAAAAACTGACAGCAATGAAAGTTACAACAACAAAGAAAAATCCTAAAATCACGAGAACCATGGGAACGATAGTCAAATGAGAACCTGGCATGAGCCATAAGGCTAAATCATCGCAATCGCTTGTAAAAAGAGATGTCGCTGTCGGCTCTTTCTATTTCTTTGGACTTATTTTGTAGCAGAGAAGCTGTTCTCGAAAGCTTTCAACAGTTGTTCTCCAGATCACCGGTTCAATTCTAAAGATAGCTGTCCAGCCTCCAACTTTAACAGCTCTGGCACCAATGCACCGTATACAAAATTCGACCAAATATCTATTGCAGGAAGAAGCAAAGAGTTGAGTAGATATTTGAACGAAGTCAATGCAGAGCCACAAACGGGCTCCGTCTGTCCATGGAGGGAAAATACCAGTTAGTCACTTTGTCAATGAATACCATGGAAAAGGGGCCAACAAAGAAGGTTGCCATCTCCTTCTTACAAAAGTGCGATTCCGCGCTGAGAAGATCTTGAACAAGAGTGGTATGATCTAGTTGTTAATGAGCAGCAGAAGAAGGATGAAGGGGACGCTTTCTGGGAACAAGAGGAAACAACGTTGACTCAACTGATCATGGAAGATGAAGCCCAGGATTATCTTTACACGATTCCTCCACAAATTCTCTCGATGAAACGTCAGATGCACTCTGGATTCCCATTCCTGGGTAATCTTGGAGTGATCTTCTTGAAGCGATCCTATCGCAGAATGAAGCGAGAGTAGAACAAATAAACTCCTGTAAAAGGCAAACATACGTCGTAAACCAAAATTTAATTCTGCGATTGGTGCTCCAATGAGCAAATCAAAGCTCCGAGAAACTTGAAAGAGTCCTTATTTGATGCAGACCAGTAAGATTGGCATGGAGGCGGAGCCCTAATCACGAAAAACAGATGTGACTTTAAGATCATGGAATCGAGCGAGGTGCGCTTTAATTCCACTATATCGGCCTGCTAAATATGTCATTCCATACCACTAGAATCATTCGATAAGCTGTTTCCAAGAAACACTTAGGCATGGTTTTTCCTTTAGGGTGTTGACCTCTAAAGGACGAAAGGCTTCTCATCGCTCAATAGCTGAAGAACTGCCCGCTGCGTATAGAAATATCGAGGCTGTCACGGGAGTATAAGAGGTGGGACTCACCAAGCCCTGAAGGAGAAGATTTTTATGTGCAAGCCCTTTCTACACTTGCAACAGCAGGAGTAAAAGTTGGCAGCTTTTCTACAGGACTATAGCCACCACCAAAGCAAACAATCCGGAGATATCCCTTCAAGAGCAGAAGAAAGGGGACGCCGTATCGCTGTGACTGTGACCTTCACCACAGCCTTAACATCTGTGAAGACAAAGCAAGATATTACAAGGAAATCTGGGAATAGCAGGCACCATTGGGGCTACCAAGTTGCATCCCTTTTCGATAAACTTTTAGGTTGGGTCCGTTACCCTGAGAAACAGCAATGGCTGCACGGAGTCAAAGCGCTGATACAGCGTCGGACTATGACTCTTATCAGTTGGTAATCAGGATATGGCTTACAGAGACTCTTCACTAGTTCATCGCAAACAAAGAGGCACGCGACTCTTGCCAAAATTATTGATTTTGTGCTGATGCAAAAGAACTTCCTCCGCGCCCCCTTTCTGAGAGATTGTGTGCAGACATGTGTGGACTAAATCTCCTGTTAAAGATGCCAGGTGCATTCTCTAGATTATGCTGCAAATGATTTGCTCCAGTTGCCCTTTGCAGGTGTCGGTCCGTGAGCCGCTCCCGCATGGAGGCGGGTGCACTAACTAGCTATAAGAGAAGTAGTTAGTGACGTTTTTTTAACATTAGATATATCTCACGCAGTGTGTTTATTGATGAGCTTGAGGGTCTATTGATCAAGCCAATGCGCATTCATCAGACTCTTCGTAGAAAAGTTCTGAACAGCATCAGGTTGTCTTGGTTTTGTTGCTTGGGGGTTGCCTGTCAGAACAAAAAGCAGGTGATTGGGGCCAGAGTGCTTAGTACACTGGACATTTGAGAGTGTGGGATGTAGCTTCTCCTACAGTTGCCTCGAGCTGATAGCTGGACTCAAGATGAAGAGGTTGAGATGGTGAAGAGGCCGCGCCCATCTAGCCTATAATCCTTCGATATTCAGTGCGAAAATTTCACCTTACTTAGAACCTCTCTGTTACACAGGATTATTGTATGAGCAGTGCTCCTGGATAGCGGATGCCAGCAGCAGACAGTTTCCAGCAGGGTGCCAAAACATCGAGGATTCATGAAGCGCATGGTGAATTTTTGAGAGCCACTACACAAAAAGCCCAACTGCTTTGAGATCGTGCAAAAGAAGCCCCAATACTATTACCCGTTGCTGTTGTGTCTAACTTGTGACCTGTGGTCCCCGGCCAACCAGCCTCGAATGTAGTGACACTCAACCGTGTAGCAGAGAGGATTCCCTGTCCTGCAGTACCAGCCAAGTAGCAGCGGGAATCATATCAACAGCAATGGAATTAATGATTATTGCGCTGCTCTCATGGAAAACCTCGCGAAAAGAAACTAAACTCGGTTTACGAAACGTACATGCCGCAGGGTGTCATAGTAACGTAGATTCTTCGAGGTCAACATCGGGGAAGAACTCCCAAGTGTAACACATCCGCACAAACACACTCAAAATCTATCAAGGTACCCCAATGCTACAAACACTCGCATGTCGAAATGTAGAAGAAACTGGGCGGGAACCCTAAACCCTAAGCCCTAAGCCCTAAAACACGAGGCAGGTTGGCACTGTTCATCGAACCTTCTTCTAACCCGGATTCTTCAATACGTTGATAACTAGGGTTTAGTGTTGAAGGTTTAGGGAACGAGACTTGCAATGAACAGTGGTCACGGCAATGGTTCTGACAGAAGAACAACAACAGCTACCAGCACTGAGAACAAGTCTGGCAAGCAGGGTGCGAGAGCAAGAGTAACTAATCAAAGGACTCCAGTACTAAGTGCATATACAGAAGCTACCTGAATCCTGCTGCCCGGAAAATGTCCCACCGACCTGACTGAACTATGAGTCCAACGCCGACATGCCCCAATAACGGGATTCATGGTACTCCAGATTTTGTCGAGAGTCAGCTTTGCCATTGTGGATTTGCCAGTTCCTCGCTTAGACTCGCTGAAGTCACTCTGCGAGTACTCGAAGATGTTGCAACACCTGGAGACCAACATGAAGTTGATGTTCTACATTTCAAAATTCAAAGCTTCATGCGGGGGCGATACAGGGATTCCCTCATTAAGAGTTTGGTGAGGATCCAGGCTTGTAGGGACTCAGGGAATGCTTCAATACAGTAAAACAATAATAGGATTCTATGGCCCATTAACCACTAGTCAGAGGAATGGCCTTAATGTGGAAGCCTAAACAATGACCAATATATTGTGGTCCTAAATTTCTTGCATATTACAGCATACTGCACCTCTAAAAGACCTAAAAATGATATTATGAAGTTAGTCCCTAGCAACCCCAAAACCAAATGCAAATTCATTTGGGGCAGATGTTGTCGGCTCACACTTGGGATATAGTCTAAACTCCCAGCATCCCCCTTAATAACCCTGGTAGCAGTCCCCTACACCATCCCCTACATAACCCCCTTTAGGAGTTTAGACTACAGCTCATTTTGAGTCAGCCTGTGCCTTCCTAAGGCCCAGCCGAACAGGCGGGCTTCGGCATCGCGACCAGCATCAGCCAGAAGGAAGGCGCCACGGCGATTGCTGTGGGCATGGAGGTCCAGGTACAGGCGCAGCCCTCCCTGCAGCAGGAAAGCCATTGAAATGAGGCTCCGGGGATGCACTTAGGGATTTAGGGTTTAGGGTTTAGGGACAGGCAAGCAAAAGACAAGCAAGCTCGAATTACTTCAGGAGTCCCACAAAGACCTCACCGCCCAGAGGAACAGACCCCCTGAGCCCTGAAATGCTCTGACGCTATGTGCCCGCCTGATGCTCGTGGGCGCAGAGGCAGGCCTTTTCCGCCGCCACTATTGAGGGGTGGTGCTCGAGGGTTGCCTGTGCGAGTGTCGGCCATGGTCATCCAAAAACCCTCGTCCTCTGGTAAAGGCTTAGCAAGGCCTTCCCGTACACGCGGTTGAGGTTCTCCCCGCGCAGATCCAGGCGGTGGTGGCCGTAGGCCACACCTCAGACCATGCTGGAAGAGCCAAGTCTGACACAATCTGGGAAGACGGTCATTTCTTCACTGAAGCGCGTGAACATGTTAAGCCGGCTGATTTTCCCTTAGCACTAGTGTTGTTCCAGCGGCCACTGCCACAGCATGGCAATTTGATCCTTGCTGCCTAGGCACCGTCTGGATTCAGGACCGGCACCACATGCACGACATATTGCCGGAGAAGTTCCGTGGCTTCGGTGCTGCCGGAAGCCAAGAAGTCCAGGAGGCCTGAGGCCCACAGGAGAAGTCAAAACTATGCGAAGGCTCATACTTTCAAAGCGATGCCTGCTTGGCCTTTGTTCAAGAAACGGTTTCGTCAGAACCCTACATCCTGTTGACTGAAGCAAGCATCCCTGCGTAAAAGGTACAGTTTAGCCCCTGTTTCATGCGCTGAATACATACTCCTGAAATATGGCAGGGCAGGCCTTGGAGCATGAAGCTAGCGGGCGTCTCGCCAGGATGCACTCGGGCACTGACCTGGCACATATCTATAGCTAGAGCAGAGAAAATCATTTCGGCGGAGAGGTCCCTAGGTTCAAGGAGCGGGAATCAAGCTGTAGCCCTGGACTGGGGAGTGAGGCATTGAGTGCGCTTTATATGCTCTCATGGTACAAATCTATCTTGCATTTAGCAGTCTATTATCTTCGCTTTTTAAAACCAAGCACTCATGTAGAAGTGTGAAGGAGTTCGCCGCTTTTCCGCGACAAGCAGCTCGTGTTCGCGAAAAGCACATTCGGCCACCCGAACTTTCACAACCTTCCTTGAAACATCCCGAACAAGGAACCTACGGCTTCCTGAAATGCACGTAGCATATCATAGCATCCCGTCATACTTCCGTTTAGCTGTCCATCGTCCCTTTAGTAATCTCGACAAGGAGGCCCATGAGTTTCAGAAAAGCACACAAGTCAGAGCCAGCGGACGAAGATAGCTCGGCGCCCCGGGAAAATCCACGGGCGATGGCCTTCCTCGGCACGTGGTCTGGGTTGCTTCTGGCAACTTAATTGAAGTTCCTGAACAGCAACCCAGTGGTGCCAGGATGCACAGCAGCGTTTGCTTGCGTCATTCTTGAAGAGCATATGTGAGGTTCGAGCTTTGGGTGAAGGGCATGGGGCTTTGTAGAAACACCCTCTGGAGCGGAACGCTTCAAGGTTGAATTGTTGGCTAGTGGGGTTGGAGCTTGGCAGTAGCTACCAGAAGCAGGGACTCCTCAGCAGCGAGTTTGACGAGTTTGGGGGCCTCAAATGTAGGACGAAAATTCCTCCCCCCCAATTTTCTGGATTATCAACAGAATGGAAGGCCAACGGGCTCACGGAATCCAAATGAATAATTCAAGCGAATTGCTCACTCGAACCTTGCAGAGGCACCTCCTGTGATCACCTCCTGTAATCCCCTGGACCTGTAGGAAGAATTTCATTTTTTGCGTCAGGCTCGAATGGCATGTTCAGGAAGGGTATGACTTCCATCAGAACACTAGTCAGTGATTGGTGAAAGGAAATTGCAATGGCCATGGGTGATCATGAGTGCTGACGTCATATACAACTAGGCTACGCGCGCACGGTCACTCCAACGCATGGTCCAAGCCACACGGGCAACCGTTCCCTGGCTAAACACATGAGCCCTCAACGTCTGCATGATTAGAGAGGCTGAAAATGGACCCAGATCCACAACCTGATCCAATCTCTCTTCTTTGAAGCTGCCAACCCCACACCTCTCCCCTCCTGGCTAGCTGCTTCCTGCGTGAGATCTGGTAATGGCGGCTGGCGTTGTGCTGACCGCTGTGAGCGACGTGTAAGCGTAACCAGCTCGATCGGGTGACCTTCAAGGATCAGCTCTCTGGGCCTGTCAGATAATGATACTAGAATTGTAGCAATAATGGCAATATGAGGATTAGTGGTATAATAGTAATACTAATAGTAAGTAACAGTAGTGCTGGTAATAATAGTAGCAACATAATTATACTAGCTGCTCAACTTCTCAGGGGCCTCCCAGAGACGTCGTCAGCTGCTCGCGGTGGACGTAAGCCCCGCCCTTCACCAAGGTCTGAAGTGCGCTGTCGAGATGCGAATAGATTCGGCCTCGGTGGCAGCAAGCCGGCCTCCACTTACAGCTTTGCGGCTACTCCTTATGAGCTAGCTGCTACATGAAACAAAGTGACAAAGAACAGATTATAGCTAAACTTCAATGACACAGTCGCCAGCACACATGATGCAAGACTGCTTAGCACTTGTACGGAGGCTAAGGTGCCCAGTGGGAATGGGAAGGTCAAAGCGAAGTAGAGCTCCTCGTCCTCTGAGAGAGGCTTCGACAAGGTGTGCTCCTGAGCACTGGGATGCAACTGACAGGTAAAAAGGCTGGCTATGGCAACTGAAGAACTCCGGTTGTGGATTCGTGCTGATCTTTCCAGGCCTTGCGACTCCCGAAGGCTGACAACCCAAAAAGTCCCGATCACTTGGTGCGTCAAGTCGCGAAGGTGAAGGCCAGATTACCGTCCTCGGATGGATCACTGTCTCAAGGGGGCTTCACGTCTTCGGGTTCGAGCGCGGAGGCGGTTCTACGCTGCATTCGCCTCTGGGGAATCACTCAAAAGCAGGTAGGTGTCTCTAGCATCTGTCTCGCAAATGGCATCCCAGACCTCTCAAGCTTTAAATGCCAGTCTCTGAATTGGATGCCCTGAGGTTAATGCTGAAAGGCGTCAGGCAGCCGCAGCATCCCTATGTCTCCTCTCACGAGCTGCCAGGCAGCATCCGCACTGGATCGAAAGACTGGCTGCAGCCCGTCTGTGAGCAATTGCCTTTCCGATGGCACTTGTGGGGACTCCAGTACTCCATTAAGGTCGATACGATCCAAAGCCCTTTTTCTGGGGGATGGAGTGAACGCGTGCACCAGCAGACACCATCTTCAAGACATCTCCGAAAACAGTACTTCTTATGGAGGGTGATGAAACGAATCTCTTTCCAGCCGCCCGCTGACCAGGCGAGTCGTCTCCAGCTTCTTGTAGCGGCTCAGTCCCAGCACACGAAAGGAGAGTCGCTCCTAAGCATCATGCAGCTCTGAAAAAATACGCTTCCTGTAACTTGGGGCGGGAAAAGGGTTCAGAAGTTGCATAAGATTTCTGGATTCGAATGCTATGACGTCGCACTGGGATTGCAGCAGTTTTACACTCCAAGCCGAGAAGTCTGGAGCCTTCTATGCAAAGCCCGAGGCTCGCCACGACTGAGCGCACGCCCACGCAAGCCAAAGTGAAACCACTGGCACTCCTGCAACAAAAGTTCTGCAGCGTGCCGCCTAATAGAAGGCATACAACTCTGGTGAGTCTGTTGCGCGTCTGCGGGAACCTTGGTATCTCACAGCCGCGAGCTTTAGTGCCAAGCGCATTCCCAGCCCCAAGTGTACACAGCGCTCCTCACTCGCGAACGGCGTTCCAGCACAGTCTGCACGGGCCTTGGCTGTAAGAGCAAAGCCGCTGATTGGGATGGAGCCACGCAACGCTAAAAGCAGGGGTACCCTTTTGGGGCCCCCTGTAATAAGGACTAAAGTATTTGGGGGTCTCTATACATATATATATATATATTTGCTTTGTGTGTGTTTCTGCCCTTTTATTTCTATTCTCAATGCTGCACTTCAGAGAACCAACCTTAGAAGCTCCATGCCAGAACAATTCTATCAACATGGCAGTCAAAATGCGGTAACCTCGAAGCACAGGCTGTCAATGCCATCGATGGCTTGCGCGGGCGCAGCCGGGCTGGGATATCCCTGGCCTTGCACAGGATTCAGGGTTCTTTCTGCCATCTAAATCTCTGGCCCTGGAGGTCGCAAGCTGTGTTGGAACAAGTCGTTCTGACAAACAGCCCTTCTGCGCACGCACTAAGCACAATAATGATAATCATTATTAGATAATTTTGGGGTTATGTAGGGGGTATATAGGGTATCACGAAAAACAAAATGGAAACTACATTATAGTAGGGTATATAGGATGGTCTCGCATGAAACAAACAAAAAACTATGATATACTATAATATACGATAATATACCATAATGTACCATAATATACCATAATATACCATAATATGCTATATCATACTATAATATACTATAATATACTACAATCTACCATAATATTGGTAAGTAGTTAGGTGCTTCGGACCGAGCCTGGGCTTGTGCTGACGGTCGCCTCGGCTACCTGGCTCTGCCTCAGACGTGTTCAATCCAATCTGCAAGAAACCTGGTGATAAGGGTAGGTTCAGGGTTTTTTTTTATCGGACCTTTTCTCCGCAGCCCGAGGGTCTACGGAAATGCCCTGAGGCACGATCCCTGCAAGCCGGCCCTTACCACCAGTCGCTCGCCACTCTGCAACTCTGCAACAGCACTAACCTTGCATCTGCCACGGCCTGAAAAAGCAGCAACCCTCAACTATGAGTGCCGAGGGTTCAGGGTTTAGGGTTTAGGGTTCAGGGTTCAGGGTTTTTTTGCTATGGCCGTGCGTGCGAATCTGCGCGCATTGGCGCCGCTTCGGGCATACGCTTCAGAGATCTTGATATTTCAGCATACACTTAGATTTGGTCCTAGTATGCCTGCA